ATTTAATGTTTTGGCTTGATTTGATCTGTCGATTGTGGCCACCTTCTAGCCCTGGATTTTTTTTTTATTATTATTAATCATTTAAGAAAACCTTCTGGCTTAAAGTAAAACTATCGGGTGTGTTATAATGAAGTTTTCTATTGGTTTAATACCAGTGATTCCTGGTGATTACATTGTTATATTAATGTTTCGAAGTGAAGTGTTATTTCAAAATAATTGCATTTTGCTTGTTGAAGTATAAATCATTCAATTAGGATTGTTGGGTTGATAATGAACTTGTATTGAATGTAATTACCATGTACAGAACCAGGGCCCTAATGGTGAATTACACAGAATTACTGTCTCAACCCTCCAAAGCTTTGTTAGCATACAGGACCAGGGCCTTAGTGGGTATAAAAATGTACAGGACCAGGGCCCTAATGGTGAATTACACAGAACTACTGTCTAAACCCTCCAAAGCTTTGTTAGCATACAGGACCAGGGCCTTAGTGGGTATAAAAATGTACAGGACCAGGGCCCTTATGGTGAATTACACAGAATTACTGTCTCAACCCTCCAAAGCTTTGTTAGCATAAAGGACCAGGGCCTTAGTGGGTATAAAAATGTACTGAACCAGGGCCCTAATGGTGAATTACACAGAACTACTGTCTAAACCCACCAAAGCTTTGTTAGCGTACAGGACCACAGCCTTACTGGCACTAAAAATGTACAGGATTAGGGCCTTAGTGGTAAGTTACACAGAATAACTTAACATCATCACAATGCACACAAGCAGGGCCTGAATGGTAAATTACATCGAAATTACTGTAGACAGCGCCACAATGTACATGAGTAGGGCCTTATAGATAATTACACAGAATTACTACAGATAACATCAAAATTTGCATGAGAAAGTTCTTTTCAGAGAATTACACAAGGCCTTGGTTTAAATTACATAGAATTACACAGACATCATCAATGTACATAAGTAGGGCCTTGGTAGAGAATTACACAGAATTACTGTCACAGTGTACATAGGTAGGGCCTTGGATTAGAGGTAGATTACACAGATACACTTTAGACAGTGTACATGAGTAGGGCCTTGTTGGTGAATTACACAGAATAACTCACCATGTACATGAGAAGGGCCTTGTAAGTGAATTACACAGAATTACTGTCACATTGAACATAAGTAGGGCCTTGATGATGGTACACCAATTGGGCCTTAGTGGTAAATGGTTGCAAAGAATCTCTACCACATTTAACTCATTTAGTAAAATTCACTGTTTGAAACAACTGAAATCGGTACATGATGGAAATATAAAAATACTGTTTATTTAGAATAAATCTTAGTAAAATATATTAGCCCTGGTGTATTAACACTGTTTCTAATGTGTTCAGTACCAGATAAGCTAGCACCAATTTGAATTACTGCCGCTAGATTGTAATTAGGTAGCTGATTTTATAACTTTCCTTTGTTGTACTTGATGAGAACATCAGCTGATCAAGGCCATCTTTATGGCACCAGATGTGTCATGATATATTAATGCAATCTGGAGCTGTAGCTGCTGCCTAGGCTACTTTAGCTATGTAACCCGACCCAGTCTGCTTCTCTGGCACTTGGGGCAAGGTGTATTCTGGCCACACTGTCTAGTGCATGTTGATTGCATGCTCCTAAAACACAAGCTAACGAGACATTTAAGACCCATCTGTTCTCCAGTTGCCTGCACGTAGGCCTGTGATTGACAGTGGCGACATTTTTATGTTTTTTTGATTTTAGTGTTTGGATATTTGTACTTTGTTTAGTGGTAATCTGCAGATATTAGATAGTACTGTTATTAATGTTTTATTGTGCTGTTAAACAATATATCAAAAGATAAAATATAAACAATATATCAAAATATATAATAGAAACGATTTGTCAAAATAGAAACAATTTGTCTAATTATATAACATAAATAACGTATCAACATATAAAATACACAAATAAGAGCCCCGGCCTAACATTGTACAAGTATAGTATCTGGAGTGGCATCACAAGACTCAATTGAATCCAAACACCAAGGGCCTCATTTAATTGTATCATTGGCCGTGTTTTATACAATTCATTGAGGTGATATTTATATGCCAAGTGAAGACATTGATTGGTAGTAATTGGATTTGAGGGTATCTGCCCGGTCTCCTTACACTGGAATGACCCTGGTCAGTCGGTACAATGTAGGACATCTGCTGGGAAGGTGGACCAGACCACATAAAACATCCCCTTTATAGGGTCACTGGTGACCAGCGGTGTAGTACAGGTCAGGGATTCATTCTGAGGTTTTGTGGCTGTGTTGTACCAGCCCCCTGACAGATAGCCCTATAAAACCACACGTCTGGACAGTCCTCAATGTCCAGTTACTCTCATTGTGTTGTAGATCAGGACTCAATCCAAAGGTCAAGGTCATTGAACAAATACAATACAAGGCCACACAAACTGATATAAGGATGTATTACTACATTTGCCAAGACTAGGCCAACTTAGTGTAAGTAACTAGGGTAAGCTCCTTGTAAAATTAGGGTAATATAGTTTTACATAAAGAATTGAAACTGTATTAAAGACCGGGATTCGGTATCAAGGCAAACCACCGGCTACCTAATCTCTACACAAAATTTCTGTGACAGGTCAGCAGCCAAACTCAGTTTGTGTGAGAAGAGGTCCTGCTCTGTACAGTTATGTGCAACATGATATGTCTCATGATAATTGTGAATTGACTGTGTGTGTTTACATTTACAAGCTGTAAATATATTTCACTGTATGTGTCAGGAAAAACATGAACACTTTTAGTTAGATTTTTCATAGAATATCAGTTATAGGTTAAAATATGAATGCAACTGTAGATGAATTTAGTGTCATAGAATATCAGTTATAGGTTAAAATATGAATGCAACTGTAGATGAATTCAGTGTCCTACCATCTGATTGTTAACCTACTGTTTACCAGGAACCTTCGGCTGCTGCTGTTTAATGTTCGCCTTTTTCGCCCTCCGCTATGAGGATGAACTTATCATTACAGAGAATATAAGTAAACAACATAATAAACCTAGTAATTAAATATGTAGTAACACTGGGCAAACATTGATTTCATGGGTGAAAAGAGAAACTTTGACTGGGCGAAATTTTCCAGTATATTATACAGTATTTTAATATTGAAATTTATCCCAATCCCTTCCCATCCTTCCCCTGCCATTGTTATGTTGGGTATTTGGTCCCATATTTCCAAGGTTCTAAACAACCAACCAGTCGTATTATGTGAAAAGCCGCCATGCATTGTAATGAAGTGGAGGAAGAAGCCACACAATGCTCAATAAAACAGGAGATTTGCTGCACAGATGGCTGTTCTCGTTCTGTGTACCAAACAAGGAGGGCCTGTAAGTGGGCATGTGCCTCAAGGCCCCAGAGCTACATTTAGCTTTATTAACTCCTAAAATCAATTCAAGAGACACAATTAACCTTTGACCTTTCAATCTTTTGTGCTGCAAATTCTCCTTCCAATACAAACCTTGGAGGTCTGTGGGGGCAAGTGACCTGGTAATGATTCAACTGGAAAAAAAAGATTTAATCAATTCCTGTCTGTGTAAAATGGCCTTGCTGCTGGTTTTAACAATTTGATGACACTGTATCTCTGTTGTAATGACTTTCAATCTGTATTCTGTCTCCAGGGCTGTGTTTGAATGTGTATCAATGCTGTTGTGTTCTGATATAAGGATGTAAGACTGTGTGTATGAGATCAATACTGTATAGTTACGGTGTTGCTGTTAAAACATAACTCATGTCAATATTTGTAACTAAAGCAAAACTTTCTTTCCAACTACATTTAAATTTTGCTGTTTTCACATTGCTTTCCTTTTGTATGGTAAAAATAAGCTGCTGTTCTTTTCTTTTCCACCCTAACCAATTCATTGATATAAGACTCCCCATGCTACTTTTATATTACCCAGGAATAAAATTGTCCATGTTGTTTTACTTTTACATTGGAAGGAAAATGTTTATACTGCTTTTCCGGCTGCAGTGGCCAAGTGGCTAAGGCGTCGGACCGTACACGATCCATAGCCTTCCATTAGTAGGTCGCGGGTTCGAGACCTACCTGGGGTGGTGGCTAAGGCGTCGGACCGTACACGATCCATAGCCTTCCATTAGTAGGTCACGGGTTCAGACCTACCTCGGGTGGTGGCTAAGGCATTGGACCGTACACGATCCATAGCCTTCCATTAGTAGGTCACGGGTTCGAGACCTACCTCGGGTGGTGGCTAAGGCGTCTGACCGTACACGATCCATAGCCTTCCATTAGTAGGTCACGGGTTCGAGACTTACCTGGGGTGGTGGCTAAGGCTTCGGACCATACACAATCCATAGCCTTCCATTACTAGGTCACGGGTTCGAGACCTACCTGGGGTGGTGGCTAAGGTGTCAGACCATACACGATCCATAGCCTTCCATTACTAGGTCACGGGTTCGAGACCTACCTGGGGTGGTGGCTAAGGCGTCGGACCGTACACGATGCATAGCCTTCCATTAGTAGGTCACGGGTTCGAGACCTACCTGGGGTGGTGCCTAGGTGTTTCTCTGGGTACTTCAGTTTCATCCACCACTTCAAACTGGCTCATTCTTCAGTGATGAGCTGTTAATAGGACGTAAACTACAAATAAACCAACCTATTAAACTACTTTCCTACCAAAGTTACTCTTCTGTCACATTGGAATATATGGTGATGTGATGTTTTTTGGACATATTTGATTGTGAATTCCTACCGCAGGGGTGTATTATTCTTGAAGCCTGGGATGGGAGCTAGCAGATTTTATTTACTATAAAAATGGAGGTTGGGCTAGTAGAATATTTTAAGTTCTGCCTGTGGGTTAGTATTTTAGATTTGAAATTGTACATTTCTGCACTATTGTTTACTTAAGTCTATTTATGTGTTTTATATTGATATGAATACATTTAATATGCTTTTTATCTCATCGTTTATTTCATTATTTCAGAATGCTGTGAAGAACTCTATTAACCTCAATGACAAGACAGACTTGTGCAACTCACAGAATAAAGAACGGGATAAAGAGAAAAATAATCGTGTGAAGAAGAAACGAGAGAAAAAATCACAGGTATGTGACAAGTTTACCTCGGGTGTCGGTAGAAGTATATTTTTCTGTTTGTACACATCATCATGTTTTATCTTCCAGAAAGAATTACAAGGAATATACCTTCACAAGGTTGTGCCTCATTGATATTGATTGTTGTTTTAAAAAAAGAAAACTTTTTTTTGGAGGGATTAATAAATGTCATCAATGATATGGACAAGATGGATGCAGAAAAAAGGAAGAGAAGAACAATTTCTCTGATGAAGTCTCAGTTGCTGTGTCAGAACTACAAAGTTTCTGCTGAAGATGAAGCCCCATTTCTATTTCTCTGTTAGAGCTTCAATTTGTCTTTGTATTTCTGTATTTATCTTTAATTCACTACTTAAATCTTAAAATGGGCCTCCTTATATAAAAGTATTTCAGGCACTTGAATTGGTGTTTGGTAAAACAGGGCTGCTGACAAGCACTTGTGGGAAAATAGGTTTGTTGATAAGTATTGCCCCTTCAGCCTGTGTGTAAAGCATAAACACTCGTTAGAGACGGCCATTGCTAGTGCTGGTTTTTTGGTTAGGACACATATATCATTTTGTGTGTACAAGTGCATGAGTCGCTAACAGCAGTAAAAGTACAAACAACACCAACCTACGTCTACTGTTATGTAAAAGTACAAACAACACCAACCTACGTCTACTGTTATGTAAAAGTACAAACAACACCAACCTACGTCTACTGTTATGTAAAAGTACAAACAACACCAACCTACGTCTACTGTTATGTAAAAGTACAAACAACACCAACCTACGTCTACTGTTATGTAAAAGTACAAACAACACCAACCTACGTCTACTGTTATGTAAAAGTACAAACAACACCAACCTACGTCTACTGTTATGTAAAAGTACAAACAACACCAACCTACGTCTACTGTTATGTAAAAGTACAAACAACACCAACCTACGTCTACTGTTATGTAAAAGTACAAACAACACCAACCTACGTCTACTGTTATGTAAAAGTACAAACAACACCAACCTACGTCTACTGTTATGTAAAAGTACAAACAACACCAACCTACGTCTACTGTTATGTAAAAGTACAAACAACACCAACCTACGTCTACTGTTATGTAAAAGTACAAACAACACCAACCTACGTCTACTGTTATGTAAAAGTACAAACAACACCAACCTACGTCTACTGTTATGTAAAAGTACAAACAACACCAACCTACGTCTACTGTTATGTAAAAGTACAAACAACACCAACCTACGTCTACTGTTATGTAAAAGTACAAACAACACCAACCTACGTCTACTGTTATGTAAAAGTACAAACAACACCAACCTACGTCTACTGTTATGTAAAAGTACAAACAACACCAACCTACGTCTACTGTTATGTAAAAGTACAAACAACACCAACCTACGTCTACTGTTATGTAAAAGTACAAACAACACCAACCTACGTCTACTGTTATGTAAAAGTACAAACAACACCAACCTACGTCTACTGTTATGTAAAAGTACAAACAACACCAACCTACGTCTACTGTTATGTAAAAGTACAAACAACACCAACCTACGTCTACTGTTATGTAAAAGTACAAACAACACCAACCTACGTCTACTGTTATGTAAAAGTACAAACAACACCAACCTACGTCTACTGTTATGTAAAAGTACAAACAACACCAACCTACGTCTACTGTTATGTAAAAGTACAAACAACACCAACCTACGTCTACTGTTATGTAAAAGTACAAACAACACCAACCTACGTCTACTGTTATGTAAAAGTACAAACAACACCAACCTACGTCTACTGTTATGTAAAAGTACAAACAACACCAACCTACGTCTACTGTTATGTAAAAGTACAAACAACACCAACCTACGTCTACTGTTATGTAAAAGTACAAACAACACCAACCTACGTCTACTGTTATGTAAAAGTACAAACAACACCAACCTACGTCTACTGTTATGTAAAAGTACAAACAACACCAACCTACGTCTACTGTTATGTAAAAGTACAAACAACACCAACCTACGTCTACTGTTATGTAAAAGTACAAACAACACCAACCTATGTCTACTGTTATGTAAAAGTACAAACAACACCAACCTACGTCTACTGTTATGTAAAAGTATAAACAACAACAAACACCCCTGTTATTATTATGTTTTAAGTACAAATCATTAACCTATGTCTGTTTTTATGTAAAAGTACAAATAAATAGAAACAAAATTAACCCCTGTTATATTAAAGACAATTAACACCCATGTTATTATGTAAGATCACAAACAATAAACACCCCGTTATTATGTTAAAGTGTAAACAACAAATGCCACTTTGAACAAGCAACCCCTACCTATGTATGTAAATCTTCAAGCAACATGTCTGTTGTTAAAAGTACAAAAAACAAACACCGCCATTTAAGTATGAACAACAAATACCTCGTATTATATAAAGTACAAAACCTAACTCCATCATTTATCATGTAAAAGTACAAACAACATCTACTTACATGTGTTATTATATAATAAAGACATCGCTCTACAACTAATTGCTGGCTTTGTCTTTAAAAGTTCATATCTGCCATTCACATATCTAATTACAGCACAATGCATTCTGTCGGAGAGATTTGACAACGACAACCTGCCTATTACCGTAACACAATTCTCCTACAGACAACACACTTCAAATACTCTGAATGTCGATTTCCCGTTTTGCTTCATGTTTTTTTTATCGCCAAGTGTTGCAACACTGTTCAAGTTTCAAAAATGAGTTTTATGTTCCTCTTGGCATTTTTATTTTCAAGAATTGCAACTGTTTTCAAGTGCAGTAAGCCAAATGAATGATCACAGAGGCCTACTTGTGCTGTTAGACCCGACATGCCAGTAGGTAGTGCAGAGTAACGTTGTTATGACAGGAAACCGCTGCTACCTGCTTAACTGCTTCTGCTGTAGCTCATATCTCTCGTGTGATTGGCTAATTATTAACAATCAATCGTCACAGCAAGTGCGTAGATTCCGTATGATATGACAAAGGAACTTCAACAGATAAATTTTAGTTCTAATGCAGCAATACATCTTCATCAGATACTGTTTCTTATACAGAATTACGAAGACACTGCATACAGATTTTAATTCTCGTAGAGAAATTTAATTTGATGGCACTATACCATATAAATTATAGTTTCTACCATAAGAATTTCCACTTTCTATGATAGACTAATAGTTACTGATAAGTTATACAGAAAAGTGCAGCAATTACTGGCTTTGTATATAGGCATTTGTATCCTCTGAACATTTTGTAAAAGAGGCCACCTCATAAATGTATCCCTGATTTCAAACCTCACAATGCTGAATCATCATTACTTCAAAATTGTTTATTGCTGACACCAGTCTACCATGCATTCAAACTTCCATTGTACCTTAATTTCAAACATTTGTCCCACCATGATTTCAAACTTATATTATACCATGATTTCAAACTTCCACTGTGCCGTGGTTTCAAACTTCCTCAGAACCTTGAATAATGTTCTATCCCACACAACTCGTGCAACCTTACAATACTTCTACAGACAACCTAAAAGTACTCCCAGACAATGATTCACCTCTGAGGACTAGGATCTCGTATATATTGTGTGTTTTTGCTGGTTGTTGGTACAGTAAATGAGACATAGAATTGTAAGGCAAATGTTTTTCTGCAGTCACTATACTTATGGTTAGTGATGTCAGGGGCCTGCTTGTCTTGTTTTACAACTAAAACACTGCCCTTAAGTGCTAGAGAAGACTGGTTTTGATATGAACACACAGACGTTTAAGATGTGGTAAAATAAACTGTTCTTTTGTCAATATTTCAAAAATATTCTCCAGATTCAGAGGTACTACAGTCATTTTCTCCCTCATGGATGGACAGATCCTCAGGGGCTTGAACATTTCAGGACCCCCTAGCTATCCGTTCACCCTTCGGGTGTAAAGTTTGCTGTAGTTTATATAGGGAAATAACACTTTTGGGTATATTTTGCCAATTTTCTGTAGGAAATTATTCTTACTTGGTGAGAATTATCCTTAGAGAAAGATTGTTTCAAATTGTGAAATTGGGATTCCTACCCAAACCCCAGGGGACAGGGCGGGCCCCAAAGGGAAAATTAACCAATATTTCAAAAATCTTCTTCTCCAGACTCGGAGGAACTACCGTCAATTTCAGTGCATGGATAGAAAGATCATCAGGGGCTTTATTTAAATTGTCTATTTCAGGACCCCCGAGCCATCAGTTCTCCCTTGGGGAGGGGTAAAGTTTACTATAGTTTCTATAGGGAAATAATACTTTTGGGTATATTTTATCCATTTTTAGCAGAGAATTATTCAAACTTGGTCAGAATTATCTTTGGTGGATTAGGGTATTACATTGTAAAATTGTGATTCCTGCCCCATCCCCAGGGGCTAGGGCGGGGCAGTTTTGGTCTAATATTTGGATGAGTTGTTTCCCCTTGTTGTAAAGCCTTGGTCTATTATTGAGATGAGTTGTTTCCCCTTCTTGTAAAGCCTTGGTTTATTATTTGGATGAGTTGTTTCCCCTTGTTGTAAAGCCTTGGTCTATTATTGAGATGAACTGTTTCCCCTTGTTTTAAAGCCTTGGTTTATTATTGGGATGAGTTGTTTCCCCTTGTTGTAAAGCCTTGGTTTATTATTGGGATGAGTTGTTTCCCCCTTGTTGTACCTATTCGAAACCTATTTCGAACTTAAAGTCAAGTTCTGCTGGACAGATTGAACTGAAAGTTGGTAGGAATGATCGCCTCATGGTCCTGACAAAGTGTTGTTATTTTTCGGGTCGATCAGAAATCCAATATGGCCGCCACGGCCGCCATTTTGAAAACCTATTTCAAACTTAAAGTCAAGTTCTGCTGGACCGATTGAACTTAAAGTTTGTAGGAATGATCGACTCATGGTCCTGACAAAGTGTTGTTATTTTTCAGGTCAATCATAAATCCAATATGGCCGCCACGGCCACCATTT